AACTTTGTACGCCCAGTAGCGATGGTCGCTTCCCTGCCATTTGCACTCTAAAGCACCTATGTATGAGTGTATCAGCCTGTTTATCTGCTAATTTAATCCAAAGTTTAATAGATTTCATTTTAAAATCTCCCCAATTCCTATACTTCCGACCTCTCTTAAGACTCCGGCATTTGCTGCGCATCTAGAAACTCCTAGAATTAATTTCAAATAGTCTGTTTCGATACTTTCTAGTCGATCTATCCTATCACTCCCCCAGATTTCTGCCCCATAGTTCATAGCTGGGAGAACTAACGATTTGAACATTGTATCGCATACTTTTACCGGCAATTCCGGAACCCTGCGCACTGCGGCAAACGATTTCTTTGAGCGCAATTCTTCCTTTGCTGTGAGCCGTCAGTATGTGATTATTCCATCCCCCATTCATGGAAAATTTTGCACCAAGATATGTGAATGTTTGACGCCGGTCAATTTCTTTCCCTAGCGTTAGTACCATTTCTCTTTGCTACCCCAGATAAACCCATTTTTGAAGACTACAACTTTCGTTTTTGAGATGTTTACTTTAGTCCCCATGTCTCACTATACCGTTCTAGAATATTTAAACTCTTCTGTAAGCCCTCAATCGTCTCCGAACATAAGACTAAATCATCAGCATATAGTAGTCCGGGATTTCAAGCCATCAATTACCGGGCCGCTGTATCCGCGTCCTGTACCCACGTCAAATAAATCGTTATAAACAAGATAACAGCAGCGGTGAAAGAGGACACCCCTGTCTTACTCCTATTGTCGATTTTATTTTTTGCGTTATACTTCCGTCACCGCACCTCACGCAGAAAATTACTTCCTATACATTACTCCTGCAATACGTTTAAAACTTTACGTGAAACGCCTAGCTCATTTAGTTTTCGCCATAAAGCATCCCTATTAATAGAGTCAAAAGCCTTTCGAAATCTCAAAACTGCAATATAGTGGCCCCGTTTACGCGCCAGCGCCTGTTTTACTAGGTATCTAACAAAATATATTGTCGGTTGTCGCGTAGCCTCTCCTAAAGCCTGCTTGCAATTCTGATATTTTACCGTACTTTTCCGCCCATTCACTCAGTCGCCCGTTGAGTATTTTACAGAACAGTTTGCTCCAGCGCTGGCAAAAGACTAATTCCGCGATAATTTTGTGGGCAATTCGCATCCCTTTATTTTTAAAAAATTGTGGAGGAGAGCTGTTACTCACGGTTTCTGGATACGAGCGGAATCCCGCAATTGCATGAAATAATTCATAATACGTTTCTGGGTCTATGTGCCACAATTCCGAAATGAATTTTGTGTGGAATGCCGTCCGCGCCACCTGCCTTCTTATTATTCATTGTTAGAATAGCCCTATTTACTTCAGTCCAGGTTAGAGGTTCTCTAATTTCAGGCACACTCTTGGTCAGTGAAAATACCTTGCCCTGTTTCAATGGTCTCTACTGTGAAACGTCCGAGAAAAATATTGCACCCACGCGTCTGCCTGAAATTTCATTACTTGAATTTATTTTATTGCGCAAAGATCTGATAACGTCCCAAATTGATTTACTATAATCGTTTCTTAGAATTGTCTGTATTCTTTGCTGCCTCACTATCCTGCCAAGATTTCTTCGATTTCTTAATTGTCGCCTCGTACTGCCTACGTAATAACAAATAACTGTTCTAGCTTCTTCCGTTCCCCTGTTCTGAAATTCCTTAAGGCTATTATAGTTTGCGCCTCTGGTCTCCCGACACTCCTTGCTAAACCACCCTTGGGTCCGTTCCCTTCCTCCTCTCCCCCCCTTCGCATACCCTTCCCTGCGCGGTAAGCCGCTGTTCTAAGTTCATTGTTTTGCGTTTCCGGCGAGCCATCCTCTGCGCGTCCCCCCCTGCCGAGTTAAGATGATCCTGTACAAATTCCTGTCGCTTTTCCTCTTTTCCATCACAAACCGTTTTCTCTATCGTCAAGTTCGTTGCTCCTGCCCGCTCCCCTGCCGATGGCAGTGCAGAAGCATTTACTGCTAAATGCACGCACACAAGGCAAATGATCAGATTCTGCCCGTAATTCGATCCCAAAATCTTATATAAATTGTGTATTCTTTCCTGCGACAACAGAGCGTAATCTATTACACTACCTCCATTCCCACTAATAAAAGTTTAGTTCCCCTTCCGTATCTGTCCATAGCTGCCATTTAAGATTACTAGATTAAATCTTTCGCATAATTCTAGCAATTCCTGGCCCCATCATTATTGATGACCGAGTCTTTGCTTTTTCTGGAATCGCTCTCGCTTCTTGCCGGTCGAAGTCCGAAAAAACTTCCTGTTCATTGCCCAATTCGAGCATTCATGTCCCCTACACTAGTAAATTAGTACTTGGATACCTCGGCTGTAACATATCTAGGAAATCATTGATTTCGCCGAAGGATTCCGGAGTATAATAACGCGATCCCTTTGGCGTGACGGTAGATAAAACACAATTGCAATATCTATATTTTTGCATTACTAGTCTAATACAAAGGAAATTGTCTGAGTTGGTCTTAATTTCATTAATAAACTGCATTAAGCTAGTCCGAAACATGCACGCAACACCACCCGGGTAACGACCCCTTTCTCCTCTACGTTTTTTATTTTTCCATATGGCTTAAAACCAGACACAGATAACGTTTCACCCTCCTTCCACCAAGTTTCAACAAGACCAATACATCAAACGTATTAATGTAGCCATGGAAGTCTTGATTACCGAGCTTAGAGCCTAGACCTTTGATGTTCCAACACCCTATTCTTAAAACAGTTTATATTTTCATTATTGACTATTGCGTTTAATCACAAATATGAAGGAATACATAATTAAATAAGTGGTTTTCTTAATTTGCAGTGGCGGGGAGAGATGACATTAACGAATGATAACAGATATCTTATTAATTAAATATGAAGCAACACAATCATCGTCTAAGAGATTCCATGTTCTTAAAATAATTTCTTTATCGCTGAAATTCATCGGGAAATGAGATCTTAAAATGTACGAATGTGGTTAATTTGAATATGAATACCACATCCCGAAAATGACTGGAATTAAGATTGATATCCAGTTTTATATCTACTTGTAACCTCTGTTTTAATAACAGCAACTCTGACCTCCCACTCTGTAGGAAAAAGATGGTCTGATTAAATTTTTAACCGGATTTGAAACTCGTCATTTCGGAACTGAAATGAATTGCATCTGATCAACACAACTCTATGAAATTTACATTTTTGATATAATTATTTCTTAGTGAATACATTTTTATTCCTGGTTACCTCATTCTCTTTACGGATTCATTGCTGGGAAATATCGTAATTATCGAAAGGAAAAAATATTCGAAACGTGATCTAGAAATAAAACATGTAATTCTAACATTGACTCATTTGCCCGTACCGTTCCGTTCCCAAAACAATTGGCCCAACCAAATATTTACTGCACGTTTAGGCGTAGTAAATGAATTTGAAAGTAGTAAACATATTTTAAAAGTCAATTAATGAGGTAGAGTATTTTTTCTAAGTAATACCTTATTTCATTTGCCAACAACATTTAAAAGAAATCGATTGAAAATATTTATAGTTTGCACACAAAAACACTAATATCATATTGCATATTCATAGTATGCAAACTAGGAATGGGCTGGAGAAACGTACACCGCATTTATTTTATTTTATCTTAGTATCTGAATATACCTAAGAAATAAAGATGCCTCACTGATTTTGTGCTAGCCAACAGTACTTAATTCTTTCAGGTTACTTAATGTTAAGGTTGACAAAAACATTGGTATGAAGTATTTGTAATGTGAATAGCAAGAGGTTTAACGTTTGGCATTACTTTACTGTTATATTCTCAGAAAGAACACTCTTGAAAATATTTTTGAACTATGTGCTTAATACGTAGGCAGGTTTAGTAGCTGCTCGGTTAGCAAATCCAGAAAACGGTTGCATGTTAAACATTAAAAACAGAAGAAAAAATAGTATAAAACAAATAATATGCTATTGATTTGGGATTAATAAACATTCCTCTCAATCAATTTTAGTAAAAACATTTTATTCAATATTTAACTTTTTTACACTTACACAAGCTTTAAAATTCTGAAGTAGTTTTAAAAATTAACACTAGTATCACGAAGTGGTAAATATCATAAATATATTGACTTTCGACAATACCAATTAGAGATTAAACTTGTTCTGTATTCATTAAATACTTCAAATATTTTTTCTATTTTAAAAAATTTACAAAATACTTTTGTAAATAATTTGTAAAATGTGGAATGATGCATTTGTGCACTGCATACATCTAAATGTTCTTAACAATTTTGAAAAAGTAATTCAAATTCACCAGAAAACGATTATATTATTAAATATTATCACATCTCTATTTTACTTCGCAATGCTTCAATATAATTATGACGAAATCAGAACAAAATCATATAACAATCTTTAAAAGTAACGTAACTTATAGTTTGATTGTTTTTAATAGTTAGCAACTTGCAACATTCATTTCCAAACACTAACATGGAAAATGTGATATTGTAGGAAGACGACAAGAATATATTTCTAGCAAATATGAATCTACAGATCAATAATAGCATGTTGTATAAAAGTAGAGGAAATAAATTTGTAATGTTTAGTATTGTGTCTTCAATTATGTCAATATACTATGATCTCACTATCTGTTTCTCTGCAGACAAATCATATATGTGTATTTACAATTAATTATGGAGTGTCTTCCTAGTAAAACAGCAGTTGACACTTTGATGAAACGATTATTTTTGTTTCTTCCCATCTCATTTTTGGCCAATAATAACAAGCATTTCTTTTTTGTTGTGTTTACAATATAACAATATCAAGTTACAATGACGAAATGTTGCAAGGATAAACATTTTTACGCCTTTATTATCAGTAATAACAATAATTGTTGTAACAAGGAATGCAAAGAATTACGAAACGTCAATTGCACTCCGGAAAGAGCTCGAGGAATGCCTACAGAATAACAAAATTCCACTCGGTCAACACAAAGTACGCGAGGATGCCCGAGCACACGGCGGCGCGCGCCGTCCTCGCCGAGGCCCTGCTGGCCGGGCGCGCGCCGTGGCCCGCGTGGGCGACGTCCTCCTCCTCGTGGCCGCCGTCCTCAGGCGCGCCGGCGGCGCCCGCGGCGGCGTCCTCGCCTCCCACGCCCCTCCGCGCGGCGGCCGCCTGCTCGTCCTCGTCGCTGGCGTCCGCCGCCGCGCCCTCGCAGCCGTCGTCCCCGTCCTCGCAGCCGCCCTCGGCGCCGGCGCCGTCCTCCTCGGCCGCGCGCACGGCTGCCACCCAGTCCCTGGGCGCGGCGCGCGCGCCGCACGGCGCGTCCACGCACAGGCGCACGGTGGCCTTGCGGCGGTGCACGCTGCCGCACGCGCAGTCGTCCTCGGCCACGGCCGTGAGCGCGTCGTGCACGCGCAGCAGCCAGCGCAGCGACGCCGCGCGCAGCGGGTTGTTGTTGAGGTCGACGTAGCGCTGGCTGCCGTCGCCCAGCAGCGCGCGCAGCGCCGCCTCGCTCGGCGCGCTCACGTTGTTGTTGTGGAAGAAGGCGTAGTCCATGCGGTCGCAGCACGCGTCCAGCACCGGCAGCGCGCTCAGGTGGTTGTCGTTGACGCGCAGGTGCTTCAGCGTGTGCAGCCCCGCGAACATCTTCTCGGGCAGCTCCAGCAGCTGGTTCTCGTCCAGGTACAGGTCCTCCAGGATCTCCAGGTCTTTGAACAAGCCGTCGGGGAGCGTCGTGAGTTTGTTGCCGCTGAGGTGGAGCGTGCGGAGCCGCGACACGTCCCCGAACACGTCGCTCGGCAGGCGGTGCAGGTGCGTCTGGCTCAGGTCGAGGTACTCGAGCATCTGAGGGCCGTGGAACGTTCTAGGCGAGAGGCGGGTGAGCGGGTTGTTGGCCAGGTCCAGGTGCAGGAGGCGCGTGAGCTGCGAGAAGGTGCCGTCGGGCAGCGGGGCCAGGTTGTTGCTGGCGAGGTTGAGCCTCTCCAGCTGCGTGCATTGCTGCAGCGGGCCGTCCAGGCTGCCGATGGCGTTGATGGAGGCGTCGAGGCGGCGCAGCGCGCACGGCTCGGGCAGGAAGAGCAGCGTGGTGAGGCGGTTCTTGCTGACGCGCAGCACCTCGAGGTCGGCGAGCGCCTTGAGCTCGTCGCTGGCGTCGGCGATGTCGTTCTCCGACACCACCAGCACCCTGAGGCCCGGGCTGAGCGCCGACGCGTTGGGCAGCGCGCTCAGGCTGTTGGAGCTGACGTCGATCTCGACGACGTCGTCGCTGAGGCCGTCGGGCACGCTCTGCAGGCGGTTGCCCTTGAGCACCACCTTGACGGCGTGCGGGCACGTGTCGTTGAGGGCGATGGCGTCGCGGTCGCGGAACGAGCAGTCGAGCGTGTCGCCGACGCACTCGCAGGGCGTGCCCGCCGCCCCGCGCCCGCCCCCGCCCAGCGCAGACACCAGCAGCAGCAGCGGCAGCCACGGGCAGCGCCGCATCGCGACTGGGCCGCCGCGCAGCGCCGCTCCTGAGCCGCTCGCGCCGGCCGCTGCAGCTGGGGGGGGGGGGCAGGGGGAGGTTGATGAGGCCGCCTCCGCACTCGGCCCCACGCGCGGGACGGGGAGCGCCGTGGCGGGCAGCCAGCGCCTCGCGGCTGCTGCGCGATCACTTAATGCACTCGCAGTGCTAGTAGTAGAAGCAGTAATGATGATAATGCAACGATAATGATGACGATGATAATGATGATGGTAATAATACTATTTTTCTACCGTTTTTATCCATTCGACGACGGGTTATTCTTTACGATCCGATTGGACGCCTATTCGACTATACACTAGGCAACAAAACTCTTACGTGCTCCTGGGGTGAGCAGAACGCCAGGCTCTCTGAGACAACGCACATGAGAGACAAGGGACAACTTGCCATGTCCAAGGCGGCAGTTGAACCCAAGTCCCTTCGCAGTAAAGCGCTGTGGGTAAAAGTTCTTCGCCACCTTTACCATCCAGTTTGGCAGTAATAATAAAATTAATAATAATAATAATAATAATAATAATAATAATAATAATAATGTATTTGGCATTTTTGGGTCAATTTTAAGAATTTGCTGGCTAACTAACGATGTCCCCCACGGCTTGGCATAGTATAATTCCCAATTCCCACGGTTGGTGCGGTTGGTGGTAAGAAAGATATGTGACGATCAAGTATTTCCTTCAACGAAACTAACTCCACCTTCCTTCGTCACACAGCAAAAGAAACTGAGACGATTTTAAAGGAAAGCTGCAACTCTTGTTTTACCCCTACCTCTCAAAAATTAAAAAGCAATCTGGAAATAATTCAAACAAAGCATCCAAGTTTACGTGTGAGTGAAATGCTTTAAAGAAATTTTCACAACCACACGAAACAATAATGAAAATAAGGGTTTCCGATTTATATAAGTCGTAAGTAATTGATCCGGTGCGGCAGGAACTTTAGAAAAAATAAGATAAGCATACCCATGTCGGTAGAGGTAACAATATTCACAAAATGCTACTAGAAAGCAAGGATCAGATTTGAGAAAAAACTAAGTAGTATGGTTTTCAGTTGTAAACTTTGTGGAACTGCAATGAAGAGTATGGCAATGCAGCAGAGTACAGAGGTTTCAGAGATATATTTTAAGGGATGTGCTTTAAGAAAAAGTTAAATATCAAGAAAATATTGATGAAATCAATTTGGATTTATTCGAATTTTTAATTTATATTTTTATTTATTGTCATTGACACGTATTATTACTGAAGATTTGAATAACTAATTGAAAATTAATTTTAAAAGAAATATTTATTTAATAAAACGAGTATGAGACAACATTGTCACTTGGAAAGGAATATTATTGTACTTTTTTTCTCCCTTGGATCTGACCAGATCTTTGATCAAAACAGTTTATAGAGATGTTAAGGAATAATGAAAGTCTTGGTATGATAAAAAAGTGCTTCGTGAGTAGAAAAAATTGTGTGCGGCGGTTAATTAAGGTGGGCGGTGGATTGCAAGGCACGACAAAAGAGGGAGGAGTCATTACCGCCCCCACCACGCCCCCATCTCCCACGCCTCGCCTCTCCCCCCTCTTCCCCCAGCCCCTCCCATGCCTCTAGACCGCGCGATGACGCTGGAGTGGACTAGCGAAAGAGACTTCGATCACCTGCGGATAGAGCGTCAGTAATGCACGGATGCAGAGGCATTTGCCAACAAGAGGTTGCAGTACTGGGAGGAGGAAATATTTGCGAAAACGTCAAAGTATACAAATCACTCTGTTTCAACTAATTTAATTTATTACACAATCATATATGTTTTTTCAAGTATTTTTATATTATTTAACGAAACTAATACAAAATCCTTTTCAAATTAAGTATTTGGATATGAACTGTTTAAACAATGCGTTGAGGTTTGTAGAGAAAATAAGTACGTTTTTCGTTATTGGTTGTATCAAAACATTTTGTAAAAACATCGGTTTCTCACATAAACAGAGAAGAAAGGAAGGTCGTTGCAACATGGGTCAGGAAGTGCATAGTTATCGCGTTGTCCAAACGAACATTTGCCGACGCACGCCAACACGTCACGCGCCGCAGCCCAAATTGATGGCGACGTTTAAGTAATGCTAGTGCAATCCGACACTCCCAACAATGATGCACTGGTACTGCGAATGCGCCTCAACTGCAGATGAAACACTCGTGTACGTTTCATATGAATGGTTGAAAGCGACGCAGAGAGTACAAGACTCGGCTCGTCTTCGCACTGAGCGACGAATATCATCTACAGTAATTGCTGTGCTCAGAAACAATGTACTTCCGGACCTATGTTTCCATAGGTGTTGAAAAATGTAGGGTTCGGAAGTATGCTCTCTCCATCCCTTCCACTGAACCACCACTGGCTTTGGGGATTGAACCCGTGCCTCCTGAATGCGAATTCAGTGCGCAACGCCTGAGCGAGTGACCTCAGTTTTACGCCATTACAAACCTACATTACGTATTCAAACATTTCGATTTCAGATATTCGCCTCAAAGGTATCTCCGTGGAATCAAAGCAGCAGAAAGGAGACACAAATAGACAGACTCAGGAAAAAATCTAAAGTGGAAAAGAAACAGTCGTCTGAAGACGAATACATGCGAGTGTACCGCTTTCTAAACCGTCTTGGGCCGCTCCAGGTATCAATTGACGTCAGTGCAATGCCGCTGACCGGTAAGTTTTAGGGTTCAAGTCCCGACAGTGGCAGGCAGGATCCTCGACATTACCTACATAGCTAGGTCGCGTTCTTGTCCCGGGTGAGGAAATGCCCCGTTGAGGAAGATTGGTGATTGAGGAAAACACCTGCAACCCGTCGTGTAGATCGGCGCGCCGGACCTTGACATCCAGTGGGGGAAGATCACCGCCATTCCCCGCGACAAAACATGCACTACAATTACAGGAATATTGATCTTAGCAGTTGACACGCTCGAAATACCCAATCAATCAACACTTTCTAAACTATCGCTAATAAAACCCGCCCAAAACGTCACTGTAGGATTACCGCGAGGGAGGAAGGCTCAGAGGCCCATCGACGATGTTTTTATGGGTTTCACTTCTTTAGAAAGCATAGGGTCATTGATATGTTTATGATGCTTGATCAATTTATAGCACGTATTAGATATAATTTGAGTTATTAGAGCTGAATGTGAATAAAAAATTTGATGAATTCACAAGAAAAGCGAACTAAAAGAATACGTTGCCAATATATATGTGATATTGTATGTCTTAGTTTTAATATAGTTAAATTTGTTTCTATGTTAAAATGCTTATTTGCCATAAAATGTGATAGTATTTGATTACAAAATCTATAATTGATGTGCGAGTGACGGTTGTTTTGAAATAGAGGATATAAATATAAAAATGATTTTCGTTTAAATGAATGAACATGTATATTATTAGTTATTATTAATCAAACTCGGCAATGGCCAATAAAATCTAAATTTAAGCTGGGGCTCAAAAGAACCCCCTCTCTTTTTCTTTATCATGCACGTAGTGCAATGAGACCGCGCACCCGGCGTTAAAGAGAACTCAGAGGTCCGCCCTCGCCCTCGCCCTCGCCCTCGCCCTCGCCCTCGCCCTCGCCCTCGCCCTCGCCCTCGCATTCGCATTCGCATTCGCCCCTCGTCTTTCGCATTTGCACTCGCCCCTCGCACTCACACCCGCATTCGCCGTTACCCTTATACTCGTACTCGCACTGGTACCCGCACTCGCACCCACTCTCGCCCTCGCACTCGCACTCGCATTTCTCTCGAACTCGCTCTCCACTCGCACGTGCATCCGCACTCGCGCTCGCGCTCGCACTCGCACTCACACCTGCCCTCACCCTCACCTTTGCCATCGCATTCCCCCCCGCCGCCCCACACTCGCAATCGCACTCGCACCCAAACTCGCCCTCGCACTAGTTCTCGCACTCGCCCTCACGCTTGCCCTCGCATTCGCGCACGTGACTCGCCGCGCCCACACTCGCTCCCGCTGTCACCCTCGCACTCGCACACGCGCACGTGACTCGCCGCGCCGCGCCGCGCGCCGCACTTGAGGCGTGGGAGGGGTGGCCCGAGGCCCTGCCGCTTCGTCAATTATCCGCGCCGCCCCGACCGCTGCGCTCCCACCCATTCCTTCATTGGCAGAACTGGCCGCACCTCGCGCTTTGTTAATCTTTTTTTAAATAAAAATGAAGGTAGCTTTATACTGGAACCTGACATCGAACGGTCTGTCCCTAAAATGTACATTATACCAGTGAAAGGCTCGTTACTGAATGACTAGAGATTTTAATATTTCTAAGCGTTTATTATCAAACGGAAAGACGTTCACCCATCATATTAATTGAACGGTACTCGTAGGGAAGTGTGTAATTTAGCTTCATTTAGAGAAACTGCGCTCACTTCCCTACCCTGCGTGCTAGAGAATCGGTTTACGCAGAAAATTGGGCTATCAAAAAAATTAAATAGAATGTCGAAAATGGTCGCATTTTCTACACTACGGTCCCAACGTCAAACATATCTTGAGCTGTACGAAATTGTCTTTTTCTTCTAGCGTATTTAATGTACAGGTACTTGATAACTGTTCTCTAGATCCTTACTGTCTAAAATTACTCACCTTATCTGGCAAAAGAAAGATTCATTTATAGTGTTTGTTCTTTATTAATTGTTTCGATTATTTGCAAAAGTAACTTGTAAATTTTAATATGTTGTTTACATTTTTGTGAATATGTTAGTATTTTCGGAAGCTGAACATTTTTCAAAACTTCGTTCATTTCATCACGTCAAAATAGCGCTCTAGAACTCGTGTAGTCTGAATCAGTTACTGTCGTAATCGTAGCAGTCTTACCACTTTTGTCACTATCTTTGTAATAATTGTAAGCGCATATTCATACCTTACCAAAAAGCACCAATAATTAAACATTAGTACGGTATACCCAACAACTTCATTTCATCACGTCAAAATACGCGCATCTAGAACTCGT